GAGTGGGAGCCGCGCATGCGCCCTCGCCGCCCCTCCTCCGAATCAGGGGCGAGGGCCTGCCGCGGAGCTTCCTGGGAAATGCAGTCCCCTGGGGGCGGGAGGACGGTGCCCGCGAGCGGCCAGAAGCCCCGCGGGTGGGGCGAAGTTCCCCCGTTGGCCCTTCGCTCTTCCCAGGCCAGTCTATATACTGGATTTAGAAGACGTCATTTGGCTTGGTCGGCTGACCGAGTCTCACTCACACACACACACGCAGAGAGAGGTTTCGCTAGGGGGTGATTAAAAAAAAAACGCATTAAATAAATACTCTTGTATGATAATATCTGCAGACCTGTGATGCTCAGCCTGAGTACAAATTCAGGTCTGGTGGGTGGCCTTGCCCCCTTTCCTTTAGCAGGCTACTCAGGAGCCCCCTGACTGGCCTGGCGCCAGAGAGAGCCAAGGGGGCACCCACCCGTCCTGCCCCAGAGCCAGGGGCAAAGGTACATAAGCCATTTGCCTTCTCCCTACTTGCCACCGTCTGGGAGAATAATGTTTTGCCAAAAACCAGGGAGAGGGGGACGGGGTTGCCTCTCACCAAGTGCAGGCTGGGAGCAGAGCTTGCCTTCTCTTGTTGGACTACAACTCCCAGAATCCCCTCCCCGACAACATCTGGGGTGTTGGGGATTGTGGGAGCCATCATTCAAAAAAGTATGTATTCCCCAAAGGTGGGGCCAGGGTGGGCCACTGCGGATGTCCAGATGTTTTTGGATTGCCCACAGTTCGTGGCCAGCGCCAAAGCGGAACAGAGCGCACCTGAACAATACAAACGGTTTCATAGAGGGAAGTCGATTCTGGGATGGATGGCGGGGAGGGGAGCGAATCCATCTCTGCAGTCAAGGGGGAGCAGGGCCTGCTAGAAAGACGACCAGGCTGCCTGTCATAATTACACTGGCGGGTCACCCTGGAGAGAAAGCGCACAATGGCCCTTAGGATCCGTAGACCCCCACCCCTGCCTTGTTTCCTTGCTGCTCTACACAACAGAGCCCCAGGCACTCCCCAATCCATCCGGGGGGGGGATTTCTCTCCTTCCTTCCATGTTTAAGGACATCAGCCTAGTTTGCAAACAATGTTGAGGGTGGGTTATGGGGGGGGCACTCCCATGACCTGACCTTTCCTTGCCACAGCCCTTATATTCTCTCCAGCAAGGGCAACTAGTGGAGCGAACTTGAATTCTTCCCCGGAAGCCTCTGCCTCCCACGCTTACACTCATCCCACCATCCTTCTCTTGCTGATAATCCCGCTGCCCCACACCCAGCACAAGCAAATCAAGTTAACGCCAACTCAAGAAGAAGAAACGAACTCTGACAATGACACTATGAACAACCCCCACTCATCCCCGTCTCACAAATGCTCCCTGGTCTAAGAGTGTCCCTCCCCAAGGGATGATCCCCCCCCAAAGATGGTAACCCAAAGGAGGGCCCTTTACAATGGGATGACGTTTCTCACGCCTAACAAAGTTTCTATTTATGACGTTTCTTGGAAAGGTTCAGTTTCTTGTATTTCACTGATGAGAAACCACAACCTGTATGTGCCTTCACAGCCAAAGGGGTGGGGAGAAATTCCAGGCATCCCCTCCCACCCCTGCCTGACCCCCCTGCCCGTGGTCTCCTTTCAGACCAAGGGAGCCCAGTGGCCCTGAACGCCTTTTGGGCCGCTGTGCCAACCCCTGCCCAACGTCCTCCTTCTCTGCCGCAGTCAGAGGTCAGAAGCAGAAGCTGGTAGGAAGTACTGATCAAACGCAGAAATAAAGCAGACGCCTGACGCATCAGAGAGAGACGAATGATTTCATTGGGCATAAGTGTCTACGGATAGCAGCCTACTTCTTCGGATGCAGGTGATCATGGGGGCCGCACTCCAGGGAAGCCTCCATCATAGGTACACTCCTGCTGCGGTCTTTGAGATGCCACAAACCTCCGGTTGAGGCGACAGGCTTCGCACGTCTGCCTCTCTGGAAAGCGGAGAAGTGGCATCAGCCCCACCTGCCCCCTGTGTCCTTCCTCCTCCTGAGCCTCGGGTCACCTACCCAGGTGCTGCTCAGTTCCCTGGCAGGAGGTGGCTGGAGCTTGGCCTCCCCTGCCCTGCTGCTGGTTCCTCCCACTCTTCATCCTCCTCTGACCAGCTCAAGCTGTCGTCGTCGTCATCAAACTCCTCCTCTGGGGTTCCCTCGAGGACGTCCTGGGCTCCCGAGGCTTCCCTCTCCTCCTCCTCCTCCTGCTGCTGCTGCCGGCGCAGGGCTTCTCAATCTCGGCTCTGTGGGTGCTCCAGCCGGGCCCAGGTGACGAGGCTGCTCTTTCCCAGGGTGATCTCCACCTTGGAAGGCAGCACGTTCACGAAGCTCTTCTCCACGTTGATGACCTGCAGGGAGAGGAAGAGGCGGGAGCCGCTCAGGACCCCTCGCTCAGCAAACAGAACCCTGGGCTTGGCAGCCCAAATCAAGTAGAGACACAAGACACCCCCAAAGCCATGAGGGGGTGGAGAGGAGGGGCCCTTCCCACCAGACCACGGCGGCCCAAGGACAAGACAACACCCCCCCTCCAATGACGTCCAATGGAGAAACAAGGCAGAACCTCCATCCTGCTGGCACAACGGCCTCTCTCACCCCTCCATGATGCCACCTAGAAGCAATTTCACTGTCCCAGCTCTCTTGCTTGCTCTCATGCACACACATGCATACATGCACACCTTCTGTGCATTGAACGGGTGTGTGGCCAGTGAACAGGCATTCCCTCCATGATGCCACCTAGCACCAATTTCACTGTCCCAGCTTGCTTGCTCTCATGCACACACATACATACATGCACACCTCCTGCGCAATGAACGGGTGTGTGGCCAGTGAACAGGCATTCAACCAGTGAGGCTGTACCAAGGCTGGGGTGAATAACGGGATCCATGTCAGAGGCTGTCAGCAGTGAGTTAGAACGAGCAGGAGCCCACTTTTGAGATGCTGCCAGTTTGGCTTGGCTTGGTTTGGTTCGAGCCCAAGGGCATGACAACCGCATTCAAAACTAATGGAACAAGTGGGACCAAAAGTGCTTTGCTGGGTGTAGATGAACAGCATCCCATAATTTTTCAAGTTATTTTAAAAAGGCATTTACAGTCGCATTTTAACCAGAATTTTTCAGGCTTTAAGCCTTTCTCTTATCAGTCCAAAACAATTCTCGTTAATGTCAAAAATGTGTGGAACATCCCCCCCCCGACACCATACATAGTGAAGTCTCTGATTCCCTCTAATGGCCAGTTCTGGTAATTTGTGGACATACTGTACATATTTCTGGGTTTTTCCTTTTAATATTTTCAATATTTTCAGATGGTGGTTAAGTAAAACTGTGGATACCCATCCCGCCAAGACATGGGCCCTCCTTTGTGCAAGCCAGCATCCACGGGCTCTGCTGCTTTCTGTGACTCGGAAGGCAGGATTCCCCAGACAAACCTCTTTTCCGAAGAAGGCCAAACATAAACTTACTCCCCAAAGGTCAAGCTCGGCATGGAAGACCTTGTCCCCTTCAAAGACGATGTGAACGTCCAGCTGCAAGAGAGAAACAATAAGGAGAGAAAGAACCTTTCGTCGGCAAAGTGGAGGCCCTTCTGGAAAAAAAAGGCTGTGCCCACAGGACGGCCCCTCCGTGGGGCTGGAGCACTGAGGGGGCCTCCAGGGAGCGCCGGCCCGATCGACGGGGTCCCGCGTCCTTTCCTTACCACTGTGTGGTTGGCCTTCACAAAGCTGGACTCCGGCTGGCACTTTTTGGCATAGACGGTCACCACCACCTGGCTGCTGGTCTGATGCCAGTCCTGCCGACAGGAAACCAGCTTCTTATCCTGCTCCCCTCCGCAAAACGAAAAAAAAAAGAGCCCGTTAACCTCACAATGCAAAAGCAATGCAAACTGAGAGCTATTGTGGTGAGCAGGGGGTGGAGGGGGCAGAGAGCATTCGGCTAAGGATGCTTCAGCAAAGGGGGGTGGGGTGGGTTTTTTTGCATTTTGAATGATAATGCCCAGAATCCTCTGAGCAGCGAAGCAAGAGTCAGGGTCATTCTGGGAATTGTAGCCCCAAAAGCCCCCAAGGGTCTGGTCAAGCCTTGGATGGGGGAGGGACAGGGGGGGCAGAGGGCAGAAGCTCACCTGCTTCTTCAGCCAGAGGTGTTTCCCACGACTGCAGCCCTTCTGCTCCAGGAACACAGTGAAGTCCGTGGTTTTGATGCCACAGCAGCTCCAGTATTTCATGCTGGTGACGAGGGAAAAAAAGACAACGGAAGTCGGGCGCTGATCATGGAGCCGCCCTGCCCTGGCACAGGTAGAAGGAACAGGCCGGGTGGGGGTAAACAGGCCCCATGGGGAGGGCGGTCCCTTGTTCAGGGTGGCAGGAGGTCTCCTGGGGGAGGGGGGGAAGAGCGAGGATGGGCTTTTGGGAGGCCACCTCAGTAGGCATCTCGGCTTGCCACATTTGGTCCTCCGAATGTGCAGAAGGGAAGCTGTAAAACCAACAGGCAGGCCCTGCCGTCGGGCAGGGGTGCCCCATCCGTCTTAGGCAGCTGAGTGGCACGGCCAAGCCTAATGGTTAGCTGTTCAGCACCACTGTGTTGGCTTTTTGTACAGGCAGGGAAGGGGGGAAAGGGATGGGGGTTCTACCAACATGATTATACCAGCCAGTGTGTACATTACCGGAGGGGGTGTGTGGCATTTATTGTTCTGCCTCAGGCAGCAAACAGCCTGGGGTCAGCTCCCAAAGCAGAAATGCTGAAGGAACACGATTTGAGCAGACGTTGCCTTCTGTCTCATACTGAGAGCCTGGCAGCTTTGCTTCAGTGCCCCGTGCTGCAACATGGCAACCTGCAACTTGGTGGATCCGCCGAGGGCACAAAGCCTGGAAATGTTACTTAAGCTACTTTTTAAGTGGCAGCTGCCAGAATCCCCCTGCCAGTCTGTGGCCCTGGCGGTGGAGGGAACCTGGGGACTGGAGCTCCCTTTTGCAAACCCTGGTGGGGAAAACAGAGGGGGCTCTCGGCCCAGGAAAGCTGGCCCTAGAGAAAAAAACGTGGACGTGCTTCCGGGGCTCCTCTTACCCCTCGTGGAAAACAGGAGCTCCTGGGTGGAAGGTGCAGGTCTCCAGATTGCTCTTTTCACCCTGGTAGACCTGAAAAACGAGACGTTTGGGGGGTTCGGGGAGGCAGCCCAGCAACCCAGAAGGTGCAAACTGGGCAGAGACCTGAAGGCCCAGGCAGCTCTCGGAGGGGTTGCTTTCATGGACTGCAACTCCCAGAACGCCCCTTTCCCCAGGCAGAGGAGGTTACCCACAGTCCCTTCTCCATGTCCAGGAAACACAGGCGGTGGGAGGAGGAGGTGGGGGGGGGGGACCCAAAGTCCCTTCTCCATGTCCAAGAAACACAGCCGGTGGGGGGAGGGGGGGGACACACACACATCTTTTTACTCACCACTTTGCATCCAGAGTTCTTGCAAGTGGTGCCAATGCTCACTTCCGGGGCAGCCCCTGCAAGAGGTCCCGGGAGGAACAAATACTGTAGCAAGACGATGGGTCCACCCAGGCACCCCTTCTGATCTGCCCCTTCGTGGCTGCTCAGGCCCCATGACCCCTCCCCAGGGGACGGGGGCAGCCCTCGGACCTTCCTCCGCAGCTGGAGGCCCACCGGCACACTCACCAGCCCCCCGAGGTGCCCCTTGGCACTCCCCACCGACTTCCACGCAGGGGCACATCCAGACCCTTGCACGCGGGCACACAAGCTGCTCACCGGTGCCTGCAGACGCCTGGTCCGGAAGCTGCTCCTGAGGGGAGACGTCCAGTCTGCCCAGGGCTTGCTCCAGAGTTTGGGACACCTTCATGGGCAGGAGCTGTTTGGGCTCATCGGAACTGGGGGGGGGAGATCCAGAGATGGGTTGGAGGCTCACAGCTGTGGGCAACTCCTGGCCAGAAACAAGGAGCCACCGAGGCAGGAACCTACCCTTTGGGGACATTTACCTCCCAGAAACCTCCAGCCCCCCCCCACTAGCCCAAGGCTTGAGGATTCCAGAAGGGATACTGTTCCCAAGTCCCCTTATGGGGAGAAAGGTGGCGTATAAATAAAACAAGTGAACAAATAAGGACTGGGGGGGGGCTCCTCCCTCCAGCCTGGATCCTCTCCTTCCTCCAATGCAGCGCTTCCCTCTTTCCAGAAAACGAGGGCTCCCTTAGGCGGCTGCCACAGAACCAGCAGAAACCCTTGTAGCCTCTCCAACCCTTGGTAGCCCTTTGCATTTGCCCTACATTGCCGTTTGTGGGCTGTGCTTGGAGACACGGCTGGCCACGCATCGGAACGGGCAAGGTGAAACGTGCCCGTCTTGAAAGGGCTCGTGGGAGTCTGGATGCTGCCGTTGCTGTCATTCCTCTGCGGAATTCCCAGCCAGGGTGGGTGGCAGGGGCAACGCGGAGAGCCGCTCGCTCAGAGGGTATTGAAGAGAGCCGCCAGGAGCCCTGCTCGCCCGGAGGAGCCTCCAAACTGGGGGCAGGGAGCCTCTGAAGAGCAGCTCCCCGGGAACTGCCCATGAGAGAGGGCTGCTGCTCCCTCTGCCCTGGGGCTGGCTGGGGGCTCCCCCAAAGCCCCTTGGCCGGTGGCTGCTGGCCGAACCAGGATGCTGGGCTGGAGAGGTTCCCAGGCAGCTTCGCGGAGGCCGTGCTCGCCCCGCGGACGGTCAGGGCTCCTCCTCCTCCTCAGTCGCTCACCTGGGCCTTTCTCTCTCCATCCTCTCGGCTGACTTCGGTCCCTGGACAACCACCTCGGTGTTCCTCTTGGCGCCGGCCTCTGCCACCACTCCCTCGGGCTCCGGAGGCTTCTCGTGGCTGTGGTACCCTTTTGTGCAGCCCTGGGAGGACAAGATGCACACAGCCCTGGCCTCAGGCCCAGACCTATGTCGGGGCTGTCACCACATACAGAGTCGCTCTTCTCGTCCGTAACCCAAAGAGCCTTGCCAGTGAGAGACCGTTTGGCGCAGCGGATAGAGTGTCCGAGCAGAGCTGGGAGACGTGGTTTCAAGTCCCTACTCAGCCGTGGCAACCCACGGAGAGGTGGCCTTGGGAAACAACTCCCGGAACATCTCACATAGCTCACAAATGCTGTTGGGGTTGCTCAGCACATAACAACAGCTGCCAATACATCTGGGAAGCAACATATTTCCTTTCTTCTCCTGATTGTTGGACCACGTTTGCACACCCTCACCAACTGGTTCTCCCACCTGAACTCTGACAGCAGACCTTTACGAAGTTCCTGTCCAGACGGCGCCTCTCTGGGTCCCAGGGGCAAGCCTCTGACTGGGGGCAGGCGCGTTCTGGGGGTTGGGTTCAAACCAGGACCCCCCCCCAACTCTTATTTGTCTCCTCCATCCTTCTTGAGTGAATCCCTTTTACACAACCTATCGATGTCCCCACTCCAAAATGCAAAGCCTTCCAGCCCTGGTGGTGCGGTAGGAAAACTGCAAGAGTCAGTGGGCAACTAAGAGCAACTTCTTGCAGCAGATGCCACTGTCCACGTGTCCTGGCTCTTCCCCCACGAGGCTCCCCGATGTCCCTCTGCCCCTGGAGGGCTTGTGGGGGGGGGGACCCACAGAAGACCTTCCTAGTACGCTACATGTATAACACCTCGTGTGCTGATGACGGCAACCACCTATTTCTAGAGAGAGCAACTCCCACGGGGATGACCACGTGGGATCCTTCGTACAGAGTAGCCGGCCTGTTTGTTGAACCCGTTCCCAAATAACAAACCAGGCCGCGAATGGCTGTTTCGGCCCTTTGCGGTTTGGGGACTGACGGCCTTTTTTAAAAGAAACTCTTCCACCCCTGAGGCTCAAATGTGGGAAGATGCCACTAGCCTATAAAACACAACCAGCTGGTGGTTGGTTTCACATCTACCCTTCAATATACAACGCTGCCATCATCACTACGGTCCACAGGAGCCAGCCGCTTCCTTTCTACCTTTGAGTTGTTCTTTCCTTGTTTTGAGCCTCAGAGAGGGTCAGCTACACCTGCCTGGGCATTTCAGGAGACACTCAAAGGCCCCCTCAGCCTGCTCAGCCAGACCCTCCAGGACAAGGTGGAAGGCCGTTCAGACAGGCAGACTAAATGGGACACCTCACTGGGATCAGAGAAAAGCAGCAACTCCTCTGGAACCAGGCCAGGCCATGGGGAAGAGGCGACGAGGGAGCCCCGCGAAGCCAGAGCAGATGATTCTTCTCCCCCAGAATCTGGCACGGGGATTCTGGGGGCTGTAGTCCCAACAGTAATGTTCCCAAGCCCTAACGGGAGACCAGGGCAGAAGGGAAGAGCGCATCCTGTACCTTGATGGAGAGGAACTCTGAGAAGTCCGTGGTCCGTTTCTTACAGCAAGACCAGCCCTGGGGGGGGGGAGAGAAGAAAGACGGTTAAGAAGACCCCCCCTCTGCCCACCTGGGAGCCTGCAAAGGTGGCTGTCAGACCGCCAGCAAAAGGGGTGCCGTAACGGATCTCTTGTACATTCTGTCAATGATAATGATGATAACAACGAAGCCCCCCTCCCCAAGTGACCACCTTACTTGCCAGTTCTAGGCATGAGAGGGTGTGTGTGTGTGTGTGTGTGTGTGTACACAGTATGTGCATGCATGCATGGGTACATCCTGCCGGAGAATAATAAGGCTGAAGGAGCTTAAGGGGAGACTCTCTCGGCCATCCCTCCCTCCCTCCCTGGTCCACTCACCTTCAAGGCATCGTGGAAGATGGGGAAGCCCGGATGATGGAGGCAGGCATCTGGGAACGACAAACAGAACTGCTGAAGGAAGCCTTTTTCCGGCAAAGACCGTTGAGTTTTATCCAAAGTGGTGCTTTTTGACTACGGCTCCCATATGCCTTCTCAGGATCTTATAGGGGACCAAGTCAGGTATGAAGCAGCCCCAACTTGGTCTTTCGTTCACAGTGCACTTATTCCCTTCTTTAATCTCCCCAAATATGTTACCAGTGGTTCTTATTGGAAAAGCCATTTATGCTCCCCAAGGTCAGTTTCCATCCCTTTCCTTCTCAGAGTGCTAATAAGAACTCTGCACATGCACAAAGACACACCACTCTTTGCCTCTTTAGTGCTGCTCCATGTACTGTGCTGCAAATCCCAAGGTACTCCCAGAAGCTGCAGCCTGGGCAACTAGGAAGCTGGGGAATCGCCCCTTAGGGAAGGTCGGAGACCTGGGATCTGGTTTTCTACCGGCGTGGCTTCTTCCTTGCAGAAGGAAACTGAACGCCAAGCAGACGTTCTAAAGGAGAAGCTCTGCTCCCTGCACTTCCATGCTATGAAAAACGGAACGGCGCATTTTGGAAATCGGTGGGCTCTCCTTCCCAGAGAGAGGGAGATGCAAAAAAAGAAGGGGGGGTTGGAAGGTGGTCTGTCAGGGCTGCTAGAGCTGTGGATGTCCACTGGGAGGTGGACTAGATGACCCTCAGGGATCCCGTCCAGCCCTATAACGCCCTGTGATTCTAAGCAAAGCCTCTGTAACAGGCCCTTCTGTTGCGAAAGGCTCAGGAATCTTGTCAGACAACGGCACCCACACATTCCCAGCGTAGCAATCCTGATGTGCAGCTAGCTGGAAGGAGCTCGGATTCCCCACAGCAAATGCATGTGGGGTTTCCCACGGGAGACCCATGACCACGGGAGCCCACCCCTTCAGGACCTGCTGCCCCTTACCTGGGGCGTTCTTCTCCGGGTCAAACCTCTGTCCGCAGCCTTTGTTGTAGCACAACAGAGCCATCTCCCTACCGCCACCGCCACCCCCAGCAGCGCCAGGTCCCGTCTCTGGCAAGAGTGGGGCTGGCTCCCTCCTGAACGGGCTGGCCGGCCCCCGGGGCACAGGCTGCCTCTCCGTCAATCAGGCAGGCAGGCAGGCAGCTGCTTGTCTTGCAGGCAGGAGCTCTCACCGCTGGACGCAGGGAGAGGCCCCGGCTATCTTTAGTAGCCGGGCGGCGAGGGGAGGGCCTGCAACCTGAGCCCACCCCAAAGATGGGCATGCAACCGCTTGGCCTTCCAGAGACATCTCGAGCGGGCCAGAGTGGGGACTGCAGGGCACCACGTGGGGCAGCACAGCAAGACAGCCATGTCAACTGGAGTTGTGGGCTCTTCCACACACACACACACACCACACACACCCTTCAGGATGCTCAACACACAGGTTTCCTTTCCATTCCTGGCTGCTTCTGGACGCTGAGCTGCCAGGCCCACAGCACCCTGTTCCCCAAGCTTTCAGGGCAAAATGACTTGTGGGGCCCCCGTGCGTGAGGTCACAGGAGAAAGACCCTCGTAAGGATTGCCGGAGGGTGACAGATGGACAAAGGAGGGATCCACTGATGGGTTTTGAAACCCGTGGAAAAATTCTGGTGGTAGTAGGAGCTCAGATAAAGAAAAGGAAAAAAAGACAAGAGGGCTTCTGAGCATGTCCAAAGGGTAGGTCCTGAATCCACGAGAATGAACCCCACAACTAGTCTTGCCAAATGAACAGCAACCCCTTTCCATGACGTTTCCGCTTCAAAGATTCGGACCTGCAGAGCGGACTCCGAAACCTTCGCCTCCTCCTGGAAAGCCTGAGACCAGACATCGCGTTGTAGAAAGAGGCAGCCGTGGAAGTCTGTGCAATCGTTATAGATAATGCCAACGTAAAAGTAACAATAAAACAACATAACAAATAAACAAAACAAAAACACGTGGCGACACCTTTTTGTCTTGTTTATTTGATTACATATTTTTATTTTGGTTTTACCTGGGAGATGCAACTCGGCATGTACTGTACACCTGTCTTGGCTGGGCTCTGCCCCTCTTTTTTGCCCCTCTGCGGGTGCTGAGAGAAAGCCCATATTTGCACCAAGCCCCCAGGGTGGGACAGGTTTCACAGGAGAAGAAAAATGGCTCAAGATTCCTGCCACAAAATGCCCCTTAAATTCCTGCCCCTTATAGCTCTCTCCTAGCAGAATGGATCCTCAGAACTGCCCCTGAGCTGTTTTCTGGAAATGCAGGAACAACAAATGGTGCTTCATGCCAAAAGAAAGAGGGGGTGTGTGGGTGAGAGGGTGGGTGGGGTGGTTTGCTGCTACTCCTCTTACCCAGCTGGCTTTGACAGCTGGGCTTGCAAAGAGCCTTTGTCAGAGGGCGGCAGCTGTTGATGTTGAAAACGCAGTTTCCCCGAGTCTCCGAACATCTTCTTCATGGTAAAAAGATTCATGATTTTCAGAACGGAGGGTGTGCTCAGGCAGAAATATAGGGTTGTGTTGAACACCCTAGAAAGGGTGGCTTTGCTGGATGGAACATCCTTTAAAGAAGCCCTTCCACCCAGTCCCAAAAGCCGAGCAGCGGTGTCACTGGACCACCAAGATCCAGAGGCGGGTTGGTTTAGTTCACCATTTCCTGTGCCTTGTCCGGTTGCTGGAAAATACTGGACCCTGCCATGAGCTAACAGTGAATTTTTCCTGGAAGTTTTCCTCTATGCAGATGACAGGGAAATAAAACAAAACTAGCTCAGGATGGGGGTGGGTGGGGGAAGAGAGAGAGAAGAAAGAAAACTGTATGGTGTGTTCACACATGGCAGCCAACACAGATCTGGTCTGGGCACACGTGCCTGCAGGCTATGGGTTGATAAAGCCATGCAACAAAGCCACAGGCAACGTTCAATAGGCATGCACACTTTATGTAGGTTGCCTCTGCACCCAGATCGAGTAGGAAGCTCACGCTTGGGCACAAACCCGGGATGGACATACCTAGAGAGAGAGAGACTGTCAGAACCGTGAACGAGTGTGCACAATGGTGTAAACGTTGTTAACCAGTCTGGTTTCTCTCTCCACTGCAATTTGCTTCTGGATTCTCTGTCTGGGGACATGGAATGATGATGGCCAGTAAGAACTAGAGCACAATGAGGCTCACCCCCCCCCAGGCATCTCACTTCCCAGCCTTGACCCAGGTGTCAGAGAACGTGGCCCTCCAGGAGAAGCCGTGTTTTTAGTGAGGGAACGACAGACTCACCTTGGCTCAGCGGGGGGCAGGGGGAAATGGTCCAAAAAACAAAGAGTCCGTGTTGTTGATGATAACAATAATATTAGTATCATCTTATAACTACAGAGTGGGGGGGGGGACCCTGTCAGTCATTGAATCCAGCCCATGGTGAGAAGCTCCAGGCGAGGGAATTGAACTCCCAACCTCAAACCTCTGAGCTATCCAGCAGACCGTGTGAATAAAACACACAGAGGACAATACGTTTATTGGGATCAATTATAGCTTCGCAAAGCAAGCAGTTCTCAGGCTAGAATAGCAAGAAAACTGGGGGGGGGGTGTCAGGGATGTGTGGAAAGGTGAGCCGGGGTCTTCAGCCGCGTGTCCATGGGGTTCTCTACCAATAAGCAGGAGAGCCATTGTCCGAAAAGGGACCTCTCTGCCAGACAGAAATGGTTTCCAAAAGCAATTTATTTCACGGTAAGAAATCGGGGGCATTCCCAAGGCCAAGATAACCTCCAAACCACCCCTGGAGTGTACGGAAAGAGACAGTGACACGGAAACAAGAGGCTATTGAAATCTAAAACTCAAGTGCATTTGGGGGAGGGAAAAAAGCAGGGCAAGAATTCAGATCTGATGTGACTGCACCACATCTCCCCCCAAAGCCACCGTAAGGCAGCGTGTGTTGGACTGCCATCCCATGAGTTGTATCCATGGCTGAGGCATCACCAGCCTGCGCGTCGTGAAGTCGTGAGGACTCCCTACTGAGAAAGTCCAGTCCCGGCTTGCTTCCCACCGTCCCAAAAGGCCCACTTTCCCTTGGGTCGGGACCTCCCTCCTCCTGAAAGGGGTGTGTGCATGTGGGTGGGTGGCTGGGTGGGGGGGGGCGCTGGTTGCTGCAGTCCAGACTAAAGGAGGCTTCTGAGCTCTCTGCCTCCTGCTGCTGAGCCCCTCTTTCCCGGGGGGGGGGGGCTGGCTGCCAGCCTCAGGTTGCCCGCTCTGCCAGGTGAGTCAGCTTTTTCTGGGTCAGTTCATAAGCCAGGAAAAGAGCGCCGTTGGAAGGCAGGGCACGGATCACTGTGGGCATCAGCCCGCTGTAAAGAGGCATAAACCCTGCAAGGAAGAGAAGACAAGCCGACTCGTGTGAGGTGCAAGCATTCGCCTTCCTGTGCCCACGAGGGGTGGGACTAGAGGACCCCATGGGGTCCCTTCCGACTCCCGAGCCCTGCGCCCGTGTGCTCGGAGGAGGCAACTGACCTTCCGTCCGGAGAATGTGCAGGAAGGAGAGCAGGAAGCCGTCTTGCCGGCCGGCCATGGACAACACCTGGATCCGGGACTTGACTGAATCGATGGGGTAGACGGCCAGCCAGAAGGCGGCCCCACCAATCCCACCACTCACCGTGACCGGGAGAGCCCCTGCAAACAGACGGGGGGTGTGTGGGTGTGTGTTTTTCCTTCTGTACACGAAAACAGGCTTCTGGAAAGAGGCTTGGCTGCCTTTTCCCTCCCCCTCTCCTCATGACTGGATTCCTGAAACCGGGGCAGGGTTGGGTGGAGAGGAAATGGTGGACAGGAAAGACATCCTGGTTGCAGGATGCAACCTCATAACTGAACGATGCTGGAGAAGGAGGGGACAGGATGATGCCCTAGAGGAGGGGAGGGCAGTGGCTGAAAGAGGAAGAAGCAGGCAGCTGGTTTTCTGTCTGGCTCAGAGGCACCCGCCTCCCTGCTCCCCCCTAGCCGAAGGAAGAGCGCCGGCACTCGCCAGGGCATTTCTGAGGCCATCCCTCATTTTGCTGAGGTCGGGCACCTGCTGGCAGAGTTTGCCATCTTCCAGAAGCCTTCTTCCAGCATCCCTGGCAGACCCGCAGCGCCGCTGGCACCAGGCGTGGCATGCATGAGCCAGGAAGACAAGTTTGAAGGTCTTTTTCCCCAGGAGGGGGAGGGAGGGGGGCTGCCCTTGCCCCCCCTTCTGCCTAGAAGCCTGTTAAAGGGAATCCCCTCGCAGCCCAGCCAGCCTCTGGGTTCGGAGGACGTAGAGGTTCTTGGAAGGTGATGCCCTGCATGAGCAGGACATGCCCAGAAAGGCGATTTCCTTGCTGCCTGACCTGAGTTCTTGCATCTGGTCAGAAAGCAGCTGGATGTCTGGGGAGGAAATGGCAGGTGAGCCCCTGAGTGGGTCTGGCTGACCTCTCCAGGCACTGGACGGAGCAGAGCTACCGAGGGCCCTGGGGGCCACCGCCTCCCCCCTGCGGGCATCCGATGCCTAAAATATCTTTCGACTGCCCAGCCTGGAGGAAGAAGCTCCGGCTGACTTCATAACCCCCGAAGAAGAAGAAGTAGCCGGGCACCTCCCGCAGCCACGTGCTGGTCAGGCCCTGGAAGAAACCCAGGGGGCCTTCCGCGCGGAAGACGGCTTTCACCACGGCCCAGGTGGAGCTGAGGGAAGAGCGGAGGGGGACACCATGAGGCCCTCTCCCCCCTGGCCGTGACGCCGGAGGGCCGGGCTGCGTCATGGCTGACCTTTAGAGAGCGGGCTAAGACCCCTCCCACTTCCAATAAATAACTAAAATTGCAATGGGTGCAGTCCTTTTTCCTCCACCCCCTCCCCATATTTGTGATTTCCGCAAGAGGGGTGCCCCAAAGTAGCTCGGCGGTTGCAAGACAGCTTGTCCTGGTCTGTACCTGCGGCTTGAGAGAGCCGTCTGCCCTGTGACCTTCATCTCGTGCAGGGCCTGCATCCGGCACTTCACCAGCTCCGTGGGGCAGAGGGCCATGGAAGAGAAGACCGAGGCGAACGAGCCGGCCATTGCACTGTGGAAGTCGCTGTCACCCAGAAAAGGGGGGGGGCTTACTCCGGGAGTGTGCAAAGGTGCGGCAAGAGTCGGCCCTGAGGGATCACGGCCAGCCCTGCCGCCTCTTTGCATCAAGGTTGAGGGATCCTTTCACAGCATACAAAACAGTAAGCTGGCCGGGATTTGGGGGGGTGAGGGAAGCATTGCCATGCTTATGGCTCGCCAGGGGCATTGGGCTGGGTGGCCACAAGTTGCCAGACCACGTGCGTTTTTAGTCTGACACACACACCCCACCCTGGTGGGGAGGGGGCTGCAGAGGATCAAAGATGGGCCCTACCTGAGCGCCAGCTCCTTGCCTAGCCCAAACAGGTGCCTCACCAGCTGCTGGCAGAACCCGTAGCAAGCAAAGAGAACGGCGTTCTCGGCGACGTTGGCCAGCAAGGCTGGCATGGTGCCCTGGTAGAGCCCGTACATGCCCTCCTGCTGGTAGGTCTTGACCGAGCAGTCGAAGAAGCCCCGGTACATGGCCGGGAAGGTCTGCATCTTCACCTTGATGGTGTCGAAGGGCTGCCCGCTTAGCACGCACGCCACCCCACCTGCAAAGAGGGCCCGGCAGCTTTACTGGCCTGCCTGCCAAGGGGCAGAAGCCAGAGCCGCTGCGAGGTTGTGCCCTAAGGAAGGGGGGGAAACAGTGCGGTCCCTCGCACACCGCCCCAAAACATGGGTGGGCAGTACCTTTGGGAGAGCCTTAAAATCTCACAAGAAGTCCCACAAGGCTCTTCCTCAGGCTAGGCACTACAGCGCGGGGGGGGGGCAGGGGGAACCTGAAATAGGGATTTCTACAATCCAGAATCATCCCTGGAAGGTTTCCCACCCATCATCGCCCTGCATATAACCCGGCACTCATCTGTCCAAAACAAGACGTGGTGTCCCTCTCGGTTTCCTTGTTTTGATTTCTCTCTGTTTTGGGTGGGCCACGTAGCCCCCTCCCGGAGGATGCTGCGGGCCCAAAAGGGGAGGTCTGGACCCCCAGAAGCGAACTGTCCCTGCCCAGTCTCCCTCCCACAAAGGTCCAGAGCCGGGGTCTCCATGAAAGGGGAGGGGCTCCTTTCCACCTGCCCAAAGACCCTGCCCCAACTCACCGGCTGCCCCCGCTGTGAGGTCGACCATCGCTTGCGCCAGTGGCTGGAGGTGGGCTTGCTCGGCCGGCATCTCCGAGGCGGCCGTCGGTCCCCCCCCAGCAGGAGACTGGCAGGACTAGGGAGGGAAAGGGCACCGCCCAGGCTCAGCAGGGCTCGGGGAGCCCAGACTCAAGCGAACAACCGGCGCTGCTCTTCAAACTCTCTTCTTCTCGTCCTTTTTCTTCTTGGGCAGGCTTTCTTTTAATTAATTAATTGGGCATCTGTGCTCAGTGGGTGGGCAGGCTATTATTCTTTTACTGCTATTAGCTCCCCAGAGTTGTGAGAGGGGAAAGAAACTGAAGTTAGTTAGTTAGTTAACAAACAACAAACAAACAAAAACATTTTATCTCGGGATAAACACCCGGATGACTGAGAATCTTCGCAGATATTGATCCCGAGGTGCCACCTCTGGCAAGGTGAGGGGAATTTCCCAACCAGGGAGGAAACGGAGACTTGGGGCAAGGGTTAGGGTCAGCTGGGAAGGGTACCTGTGGAGGCTGTGGCACAAAATGGGCTTTTGCACCAGCCCAAGTTGGCAACTCCCTGTTCAGAAGAACACCTTGCAATCATTTGCAGGGCGATAGTTCAAGGTGTTGCAGCCGTTGGCCCCCGGCCCGGAAATCTAATTCTGAGGAGGAGCAAAATCCCTTGTTCAGGGAACTCTGTCAGGAGGTGGAGTTCTGCAACGTGGTGGGACCCTCACCTTAGCTGGCTTTGCAGCAATCTGATAAGAGGGCTATTGTCAGCAACTTAAGGGAAGCCATCTCAGGCAGGAACTGGAAAAACCCTGTCGGATCAGACATCAGGTGAGGCATCGCCTTGTGGGACTCCGGAGCCAGAGAGCAGCAAACATCCCATTGGGGAAATAAAGGCCAGGCCAGGACCTTACAGAGTCCACCAAGGAAAAAAAACCCAGACTGTGGAAGACCCAACCCTTCAGAGGCACCCGCCGTCCAGGATGTAGAACGGGAGAATTCAGAACGGGAGGAGCCAATGGACAAGCTCACTGAAATCTAACAGATCTGCTGAGGAACATCATTGCAAAGGGGGCAGGGGAATGGATGCTGTTCCTTCTGGTGGGAGGACACCGTGCTCAGGAGGACACTCTGTAGACCACAAATGGGCAAACTGTGGAACGCTTAAAGGCTCCGTTTTGTTCTCTGGGCTCTCAGAGGTTCCTGGGCCGGCCATAAAATTGGCTCCCAAACTCACCAAAGCTGCCCACCCGTGGCCAATCCCAATCCCACCTATTGCACAGGAATCCGGCTGGGCCAAGAGAGGCGGCCAGTCACCTTTCCACGCCCTTCGACTCGGCTCCTTGCCCAGGCGTCCCGTCGCAAATGGCAGCCGGCCAAGTCACCCCACCTGCCCTTTACCTTGGCTCCTTTTATCAGCTTTTAATGAGGCCTGTCTCCTGCATGCATAAAACATGACCGCTCTGTAGCAGCCATTGACCTGTCCCCATCCAGGGTAACATCGTTTCTAACAGGTCGTGCACAAAAAACATACCTGCTGGGTTGTGCAGGGTGGGGGCAACCCATTCACTTGTGATAGGGAGAGGAAACGGAAAAACCTCTGCTAAGCTGACACTGTGCACAGGTGGGACATGCTTAGTCCCCACTTCACCACTCCTGGGTGTGTCATGACCATCATCACACCCCTACCCCTCCCCTCCCAACTTAGTCTTGTACATTCCTTTTGTTATCTGGTCCTGAGTTGGAGCCCAATGCATTAACCTGATCTACCTAGACGCTGGCCCCCAGTTGTTGGAAGCACAGCGAAGGCAAAGTGTTCAGTGAAAACAAAAACTCCTGCAAGGTTTCCAGGAGCACACAACCCTAACCCTGAAACAGGGGCTCAAGCTGAGCCCAGCTGTGCTCTCCATGAGCCAGAGTGGCTGGCAGGAACTGCTCCTTTTGATTACCGCAGAGTGTTCTTCATGGGGCCACCTTTGACGTAGTCATAAATATTGCAGCTAAGGCAATGCACAGCAGGGATGGCACTACATGACGGCCACGACAGCCAGGGTGAAAGGAATGGCACTCTGTGACCGCACACGTCCAATTGAGTCCGAGGGGCTGATCCTGATCTTGCACCACTTGGGAGCAAGATATGGGAACGGGCAGCCTTCCCGAGACACAGAGCTGCATGGTGCTTAAATTCCTCACGTTCCAGCACCAAGAGTGGGCCACTCTGCATGGAGTCGCATGGGAGGGGGCTTTCTCGGTTGTGGTGCCCCCGCCTCCCGGTGGCACACCCACCCTCCTTTTCGAGGTCTGAGTGGCAACAACACCGCTTCCACTTCTTACGCAAACATTTGGCACCACGTGAGATGACCTGACACCGATCGTTCAATTTGCATGGTTGGGGTTTGTCTGAATTCTTAAGTCTGTTTTAAACTGTATTTCATCTGTGGGGGCAGTTTCAGATTCTTTTAAGGCAGTTCTGCTGATGGCCACAAACCTTGAAATCTAACGACAGGGGCCAAGCTGGAAATACTTTAATAAATCAAGACGGCACCCTCTGTGTGCGAGGCTGATGGTGTCCAACAGAGCTTGAGCCCTTCCCCTCTTGCCCCCCCCCACCTTCCTGGA